TAGTATAGACGTGGGCTCCTGATCCTCATTTATATTCATAAATTCAAGTGCTACCTTGCATGCAAAATCATCTTATGTCGACATTTCTTATATGTTCCATTATGTTCCAGACATGATATAATCGATTTGAGATTTATTATGGTCAGGACCTTTAATACTTTGCAGCTTGGCGTCCCAAGCTACATTATATGGTACCTGTACCTTAGAGCCGGCCGGCCTTATCTCCATGTCTGGGATGGTTTCCTTAGTAACCTCGGATTCCTATTGCACCTTTCTTTGATTTTCGAGGATTTTTATCTTTGGAACCTATTGGTCTACCACGTTTCTTTCGTGTGTTAGACTCGGTAGCAATTTCATTGATTCGCTTTTGGATATCAATACGTACTGGTGCATTACAAGCTGGTATGTACGTTTTTGTAACTTTCTTTGGGTCAGCAAAGGAATCTGGCAATTGATTAGCTAGCTTTTCAAATGTATAATCTTATGGACCTCTGATTCTCATGCCAGAGTCCGAGGATCTTGCCAATTTAAGGATGTTTGATTTCATTATATTTCTTTTATTGCTTTACCCAGCTTGTTCGTCTCTCCACCTATAGTAGGAAATTCGGATTCATTCAAATGACAATCCGCGTATCTAGCCTTAAATAGATCACCCGTAGTTGGCTCTAGATACTTAATAATGGTGGGAGAATCAAATCCAACATATATTCCCATCCTCCTTTGAGGTCCCATCTTTGTTTCTATGTGGTGGAGCAATCGGTACATATATGGCACACCCGAAAGTCTTTAGATGGGATATGTCTGGCTCATGACCCATAAGTAATTGGGATGGTGAATATCTATGTTCACTAGATGGCCTTATGCGTATAAGTTCTGATGCATGTAAAACAGCGTGTCCCCAAGCGGCTACTGGGAGCTTCGACCTCATGAGTAATGGTCGAGCTATCAATTGAATTCGTTTAATGAAGGATTCCGCTAATCCATTCTGTGTATGTACATGTGCTACGGGATGTTCCACACTTACCCCCATGGACATACAGTAGTCATTAAACGCTTGGGACGTGAATTCACCGGCATTGTCTAGACGTATAGTCTTAAGCGGAAAATCTGGAAAGTGGGCTCGCAGTCTTATTATCTGGGCCAATAACCTAGCAAACACTTGGTTTCTAGTAGATAGGAGACAAACATGCGACCATCTTGTCGATGCATCAATGAGGACCATACATATATCTCCTTGTATCCTTTCCAGAAATTTTAAGGTCTCTTTATTTACCTTAGCCGGTGATGGCCTTATAATGAGTTTCCCTTGTGAACATGCTTCACACGTGAGATTCTTAGGGATAACTCTTTTCTCTCTTAGGGTGTGCCCCTTTGAATTAGTTATTAGTTTACGCATCATACTATGACCCGGATGGCCAAGCCGGTCATGCCATAAAGTGAATTTCTCGATGAACTCTTTGTTCATTGCCATATTAGCTTCGATCATATCGATTTTAGCATAGTAGAGACCAGTGGATAATGCGGGTATAGTCTCTTAGGACTTTCTTATGTCCTTGGGTGATCTCAATTATATTTAGGAATTCTTTGTTCCCTTCACCCTTTGTTTCAATATGGAAACCATTCAATCTTATATTTTTGAAACTTGACAAGCTCCTCTTCGAGCTGGGTGAATATAGGGCATCGCTTATTTCAAGATGCGTGCCCTTTGATAAAAGTATATGGGCATGACCATGGCCCTCAATAAGACTAGCTATACCCGCTATGGTGCTAATATTGGCATTTTTCATTATGAGATTTAGAAAAATATCTCTTATCTTTTGTGTGGCTCCACTATCCACCACAATTATGTTCTTGTCCTCGGCCATTTCTTATATGGACAAGAATCATGTTCTAAACATAAAATAATATAAAATAAATTCAAGCAAATAACAATCAATGAACACATAAAATGCAAAGAAAAACATAGAGGTTTTGATGTCGAAGTAAGATTTATCAACTTGATTCTTTTATGCAATCAGAAGTTTCATACTCTATTAGATCATCTTGATCATGTTCACCATCTTTATATACCAAATGGGCTTTAGGATTCTTCCCTTTTACACTCTCTTGATAGAGGTCACAACGATGTTTGGAAGTCCTACATATCTTAGCCCAATGGTTTCCCATTCCATATCTATGGTATACTCATTTGGTCGAGTGTTGTGGTTTGGAAATACCACATCGTCCTCGCCCTCGACCACGGCCGGAATTGGGTCTACATCCACGGTTATAGTGGTTCCCATGGCCGGATGAGTTATAGTGGCCACAACCACGTCCTTTCAATACCACATCTATGGCATACTCATTTGGTCGAGTGTTGTGGTTTGGAAATACCACATCGTCCTCGCCCTCGACCACGGCCGGAATTGGGTCTACATCCACGGTTATAGTGGTTCCCACGGCCGGATGAGTTATAGTGGCCACAATCACGTCCTTTCCATCCACCACGGTCACGGCCGTGTGGTCTATCACTTTAGACGTGGTTAGATTCTTTGGATTCTTTCTTATCCTCTGCGGCCTTATTGGCATTAGGTAATGGGGTTAATCTATGAGGTCATAACTCACTGTTTTTATCTGTAAGTCATTATTTTTATTTTTTTTTCATCTAGCAATAGACTCATCCACGGACTTATAGTCCTGGATTATGAGACTCTCAATAAGATGGTGGCTAATATTGTCTTGTATCTATCTTTCTCTCTTGGCATTCTTGCCTTATTAGATACATTCACCAAGTCCTTTTGACTTTAGGATAATCTTAGTATCCATTGCCCATTTTAAAATAATTATCTCCTAAGAAATTTAGGGCAGTAAAGTACAAGTTGTAATTCAACATCTACAAGGAAAAGTTTTGAGTCAAAATCATGTAATCGTTAGTGTCATGCGGTATTTGAGACCGAACCATGAATCGATTTACTTAGGGATTTGACTTTCCTCTTTTGCTTAGGATTAGATTTCCTCTTTTTATTAGGATTAACTTTTCCTTTTCCTTTTTAGGATTTACTTTCCTCTTTACTTTAGGATTAATTTTCCTATTTCACTTATGATTTTAGATTTTAAGATTTCCTATTTTAATTAGGATTTGGAAATTTTCTATTTCTTAAAGTTTTCCTATCTTGAATAGGATTTATGAATTTCCTAATTTAATTAGGATTTAGAGTACAATAGGATTTAGGATTTTATTTAGGTTTTCATGCTTTCTATTAGAATTTTAAAGTTTCCTATTTTATTGAGGATTTTAAGATTCCCTATTTAGGATTTAGGGTTGTTAAGATTTCCTATTATCTAGGGTTTCCTATTTTATTTAGGATTTTAAGGTTTCCTAGATTTTAGGGTTTCCTATTTTATTTAGGATTTTAGGTTTTAGGGTTTTGAGATTTCTTTTAGGATTATCTTTTCTAAGTTTTCTAGGGTTCATGCAATTTTAGTTTTAGGGTGTTAAGCATGTAATCAATCAAAGGAGCAAACAATCTAACAACCTAAACAATCTCAATCAAGCCGATTTAAACTTATGGAATTTTTTGGATTAGATTCGTTTTAGGTTTTAGGTTTTTAGACCTTTAAAGTTTCGGTTATTAGCTTATGTATTTTCATTTTGCGATTTTAGGTTTAGACAATTAAAACTTCTCTAGCAACTTAGGCGAGTTTAGCTTAAGCGATAATCAACTTTTTCTAGCAACCTAAACGAGTCAAACAATCGAGCAAACAAGCAATCGGATCAAACAAGCAATCAAATCATACAAGCAAAGCAATCACTTAATCAATCATCATTCGTTTTAGGGTTTCTCTTTGCTTAACTTTCAAGTTCAATTGTTGGTTCTTTAGCTTTAGGGTTTTGATGTTACCTTTCACCTTATGGGGTTGTATGGACTAGAACCGGGAGCTAAAGACCTCGGTAACTCACGCTGCTGCAACGAACCGCAAACAGTACCACGATGAACAGTACCACGATGAACAGTGCTGCAATGAACAGTACCCGCGATGAACAGTGCGGCGATGAACAGTACGGCGATGAACAGTACGGCGATGAACAGTACCGAGATGAACAGTGTCGGCGATGAACAGTGCCGCGATTTTTAGGGTTAGGGTTTTAGGGTTTTCGTTAAGAGCAAGTCGTGCTGATAACGTGTTGTAAACTGTGTTGTTCTATTAATTAATGAATGAGATTTCGATACATATATATACATGATGAGGGGAGACAAATCCCCATTGGGCTAGTAAACCCTAAAGCCCAAAAGCCCACTAAGTACAATATAGGCCGTCATAAGGAGAATCTTCAAGAACATGGGCATGGGCCTTCTAGGACATGGACATGGGCCTTCTAGAATATGCATAAGGTCCACGGTTATGGAGTCCATCCAACATGTGGTTTATAACAAAAATAAAATATTGTAGGGCGTATGAGTGTTTTTCTTTTCTTGAACTTTTTTTTGTTTTTTGAAATGTTAAATTTATTGACCAACAAAAAATGTACAAAGTTTGGAGTAAAAATCGAAGACATGCAATCATATTTGGGATCCTGTTTATCTCGAAGGTCAGACGAATTAAGAGATAAAAGATGAAATCGTGTTAGTAGTCTCCCAATCTACTTTTTTTTTTTTGGTAAAAAGATGAAATCATAGGTTAATTTATAAAACTTCAAAAAAAAAAAACTTGAAAGGTTAGTAAGAACACGGAATCAGGGTTATGTTTTAATTCTAATTTTTTGCAGATATGACTTCTTAGTTCTTTCCACACAAAAAAAAAAGACTTCTTAGTTAGTAGTAAAGATGTACTCTAATTAAACCCGTATAAAACCGACTTTATCGATTCTGTTATATCAAAACGTACCGGATTTCTAATTAAAACGCGTTATGAAAACATAAACGGAGAATGCTAAAATGTCTAGCACACGATAAAGCAGCGTTTTATTTGTTCTTATCTATAAATATGATTTGAGGATTTTCATTGGTGAAATACAAATATTAAGAGCGTCAGCAAGTATAATAGCAGATGCAACCGGGGCGATTATCATCGTAGGCTCGAATGCAATCACCCTTGCCATGTCTCTTGAGTGTACATGAAAAGGCACAGTTTTTGGGTACACATTCTCCCCATTTTAGGATCTCATAACAATTTTCCATCTTCCCCAATGGTTGGCCCTTTGCCATCCTTATCTCCCCTATTACAGTAATAGTTCAAACATATAAAAATATTTCAGTTTCTTCCATGAACAACTTTGATAACAGAAATGGTAGTATATGAAACATGAGAATTTTATACCAATTTAGAGAGGCATTAGGGGTACCAAATCATATAATTTCTCAAACATAAATCGTACCAAAAAAAAAAAAAACTGGTCCATAAAGCAATTCTGTTAGCCGTTAATAGGAAAAAAATATGATTACTTAGTTCCATTTTCTTATATTTCAACAAAGTGTAACTAAAATCAAATAGAACAAAAAGACAAAACATAACTCAGTTTAATTTAAATACGAATATCTCAAAATCAGTGGCGGACCCAGGAATTGTTTTTATCCAGGCCATTAAAAAAAAAAAAAAAAAATTAAACCTATTATGTCAAGACAGGGACTTGAACTCAGGATAGGGAGGTTATGGACACACAAATACCAACTCAACTGCTTTTTTTTTTCTGGTTTCTTACACATAAAAAAATTTATATCATTATTTTACCAGGTCAGTTGCCCACCCTCTCTCTTTACTGGGTCCGCCAATGCTCAAAATACCACAACAAATTTTCTTTTGTTATTTTCCAAACAGTAATTTGTCAATTACCTCAAATTCTCCAAAAAATGTTTCTGCATCGATATAGCTTGTAATGTCATCTTTAATTCATAAAATTGACATAAAAGAATTTCGATATAATATAATATAATATAATATAGAATCTCGATATCTAATTATGACTCATAAACGCTGTCAAAAAAAAAAAAAAAAAAAATTATGACTCATAAACAAACTTAATTTTTATTGTAGAAAACTAACATGTTATTAACAACTATTTTATTTTCGATGATTATTATAATATTATTATATTTATAGCAAAAAGAAAATATATAATAAATACAAACCTAGAACGAGGATGGTGAAGATGCATAGAACGGTGACAGAAAGTTGCAAGGATTTACTCATGTTGGGTTACGTACTCCAAGCGAATTGATGATGTTTTACGAATAAAATAAATGCCGAACAACTTGTACCGTTGTACGTATGTATATAAGAAGTTATATTGATACACATTATGATAACTTAGAAAGGCTTGATCCTGTATCTAATTTAAGACATTGTCTTAAAACCACCAGATATTTTCCCTTCATTGCAAAGCATTCTTTTCCAATTAAACAAAGAAAAATCTGAAGAAGTTTTGTAAGACAGAAGATTATATATCTTGTTTAATAGAAAAAGTAAAAAATAAAATAAAGAAGAAATATATATATATATATATATATATATTCTAAATATGATTATATAATTAATAGTAGAAATATATTCTTCTAAATATTACTATATTTTTGCTATGCAAATGGAAGCAAGATATTTAGAGGCATAGGTATTTATCGTAAATGGTAGGGCGGAACATTTACATTTTATTTTGTATTTAGTTCCATTGTGCTAACTAAATAGAAGAAAATAAACGCTTTTATCTGTAGTGATGAAAATTGAAAAGAAAACAATCAAACATATATTGTAGGGTGTGTATATATACGTGGTATTCAAAGATTGAACTAAATTTTTGTTGGAATGTTAAATTTATTGACTTATAAAAAAGAGTTCATGTACAAGGTTTTGAAAGAAAAGCGAAGACATGCAATCCAAAATATCCGACCAGTAAGTATGATTATGGTGCCTCTCATTTTGTTCCCTACAAATGTCATAGATGGTTATCTTGAAGGTCAGATGAATTAAGAGATAAGAGATGAAATCGCAAGTGTTCGTAGTCTCCCAATCTGGTTTAGGATCAGATGTTCCCAACAATGTATGTCCAAACCGTTAAACATACTAATTTTGATTCCAATTACTGCAGATAATCGGGAATCTTGACCTAAAACGTGTTGTGAAAACATAAACGGAGAATGCGAAAATGTCTAGCACACAATAAAACAAAGTTTCATTAAAAGATTATTCTTTTTTTTTTTTTCTTTTAAAGATTATTCTTACCATAACATATATATATATATATATATATATATATATATGATTTAAGGGTTTTCATTAATATTGAAGTACAAATATTAAGAGCGTTAGCAAGTATAATTGCAAACGCAATTGGGGCGAGGATCGTGGGCTTCTTCAATGCAACCACCCTTGCCATGTCTCTTGAGTGCACATGCAAAGGCACATATGTCAAGTTCACATTCTCCCCGTGTTAGGATCTCATCACACCTTTTCTCCAGTGGCTGTCCCTTTGCCATCCCTATCTCCCCTATTACATAAAATCTCAGTTCTTATTATAAAATGGAAGAAAAAAACTGTTTTGATGATACATCTTCTTTTTTACATAAAAAAACACCATGTTTGACTAAGCTTGTTCAAATAAGATAACCTCGTGAGCCATCCAAACTCGATCTTGAGAGCTTACATGGGAAAGTGGATAATCTCGAACGATGATAGATGTTTTAAATTCAACGAATCTTGATATCTAATATAATATAGAATCTCAATCTCGATATCTAATTTTGAATCAAAATTCACGTAATTAACAAACTTTTTTATTGTAGAAAACTAAAATGTTATTCACAATCAATTTATTTGGGATGATTACTATAATATATAATGCCGATTATAATAAACACAAACCTAGAACGAGGATGGTGAAAATACATAGAACGGTGACAATGAGTTGCAAGGATTTACTCATGTCCCGATATTGCAAGCAAATTGATGATGATTTACGAATAAAGGATGATGAAGAACAACTTGTACATATGTTCTATGTATACAAGAAGTTATATTTTTGATACACATTATGATAACTTAGATAGGCCTTAATTTTGATCCCATATCTAATTTAAGACATTGTCTTAGAACCATTCGTTATTTTCCCTTTGTTGCAAAGCATTCTTTTCCGATCAAACAAAAACAAAACGATGAATTTCGTGAAATGGAAGATAATATATCTCGTTTAGCATAAAATAGTGCCAGGCAGACAGTACTTAGAAAGCAAACGATTTGTCTTCAATGTTTGGTTTCATGGACCACGAGTTTTCTGGCGTTTAAAGATTCATTGATGCAAGTTTGGTAACCAATGATTTTAAAATAACGTGTTATATGAATTGGATATTTTGAGAACTTAGTTAAAGAAATATCAAACTCTGGAAAGTGAAAAGACATTCGGCTACTAATTTGTCATGTCGACTTTAATGACTCAGGTATCATGCATGATAAAAGCAACGCATTACAATATTGACGAGAAGTAAATAGATACATAGGAAACTATTTTTCACTATAATTTTGACATTACAAAATAATGAAAAAGATGCATTGAAAACAAAGGCATATGGAAAAAGAAAAGTAGACCCAAGATAAAGAATTGAAGCAGTGAATATTCCAAAGAACCACCATACACTTAAATGTGACAGAACTTATATATGAAGTTTGATGGTAATTTATCAAGGGTTTATTCTGATTCCAGATTCGGAACTATAGCCGAAGAGAGCTCGATATGCGAAACCCGAACTGCGCCGATAAGCCTCTCTGGCTGTTCTTCCGCTGTATTTGCCTGTAAAACCAAACATGAATTGTATGCATAAACAGCAACCCCAGTTACCCGAGCAAAACCAAATGTTATGGGTCAGTTTATCGATAAATTACCTGTACAAGGAAAGCCATTTCCACAACCAGAGACGTGATTACGCCAATGACGAGGCCGAGAACTCCATTTGCAACGGTTGATGAACCAATATCTACGTCAATCTACATCAACAAGATAAATTATTTTGAGTTAATTTTTGGTTCTAGAGGCGTTCATAAACTACACTGATGGGTCTGCTCACTTCTAAGTATGTCGGGCCACGAATGTAGTTGCAGTCCACTGCTTTCCCAAGGAGACAAGGAGTGCTTCCCACGCTTTGCCGTACTATCCATGAGCCCTGGAATAGAATTTAGTTCTACGATAAATCGACTTCCTATAGAATCTCCATTTAATTGTAGTAGTAATCAATCACCAAGAGATAAACATACCTTAGGAACTAGTGGTATAAGCTTTAGCCTACTATTTCGGAATTCATCATCACCATCCACAAACCGTTGCAAGAGGGACCCAGGTACGAGTTCTTTCATCACGAAATAAAACACCATACTGTAGTGAGTTGATCCTGGAACCTATACAAATACCGGTTTTAAACCTATATACATATGACTATGTGGTTTGTAAACAATATTCGGAACTAAATAATAGTTTATGGGTAAAGCTTACTTGAACATTTACCACCATCGAGAATAGACCTTTTTCTGCAGCAACCTGAGCATGTGTATCAAAAGGCTCAATAATCTTTCTAAGTGATTACGATTCATCCACAAGCTAATTAATAGCAGGAGAAGAATATTGAAGCTTTAAGTGGAAAATTCTCTCCTTTAGGTAACTAAAATTAAGGTGCTTGTGTATCTTACTTGTGCTGCACAGCCTTTGCGTCTAGCAACATGATCTATTCTTTTACTGTCTTTGAACCAATCAACAGCAACGAGATCCATAAGATGCTTCCCAGCAGGTATCTTCCGTATAGTATTAAATGGACAGATTCAAAAGTTAGTTGGATGTAAGAACCTAACCATTCTATATTAAATTATTAATAAGACGAAAAGTGTACCAACCTTTCTTTTCTCTACACTGAAATTCTTGCCCCGAACTTTGAAGTTGTTCCCGTCAGAAGTCCTCCAGCAGTTACGAGCGTTTTCATTTTCATTGCGCTTTAGGTTACCCGAGAAGCATGACAGATCAATGTTGTGAGCAGGTTCTTCTTCTGAAGTGTCAAATCGCACAAAAAATCATTGCTATTAGATATCCTAATTGGCTCAAATAGCATTTTCACACTTAATGATAGGGTGCTCACCTGGTCTCTTGACATCGGTCTCTGTTTTACTTGTTTCAGGCTGAAATAGTACACAAGAATGACGATTCATTTCAAGATGCTGCTTAAGATTTTAAAATAAAAATGCTTGATATTCAAACCTCTTGTTCTGATTCAGCAATCTGAAATTCATCATCATCATCCGAGTCTTCATCCATAAGCACAGAGTTTCTGTTAACAGAATTTGTTTGATCAAGAGAAAAGGCAGACTTATGCAGAGACTTCCCACTCTTAGTCAAGCTCAAGGAAGATGATGCCATATTAACCATGACAGGGATCCGAGTAGGAACACCTCTCTCATCTGTCTGTGAAAACCATTCCCGCAAACCTGTGATGAGAGCAGCAACAAGAATTAAGATGGATGATATTAAGTAGGCAATGAAATTACTTTTCTGCAAGGACCTAAGGAAACCAGTGGAAAGGAAGCATGAAAGCACTTACCAGCAACACTATTCAGCATTTGAAGAAGACAATGTTGTTGAAATGCTGGAAGATAGCCTGCACCCCACCCTTTTAGATCAATTTGTATTAGATGTTGCACTTGTGTTCTAGGCCTCCCATTCCGAGGCTTTAGTGGGGAAATATTATATCCTCCACCTAAGCGAACAAAAACAGCTGAGGTTAGATAGTAGTACATCAAAGGGTAGAATTTTTTTATCAAGCGCTTAACACCAGTTAGTTTTCTAAACGTACTCTCAAGATGAGCCCGAACACATCCAGGTTGTGGACCACAATTCTCATGCTCCCTAGAACGGAACAACACAACTTCACAGAAAGAGCGAGATAAATAACCAACAAGTTTTATAAAACTACCTTTCCAGCAGATTCTAAATGAGTTAAGAGGCCAGAAAGATACCATAACTCCCATCATCATTACGGCGCCAATATCGGACATAACACAGGTCGCGAGGCCACACAATCCTGAACCATTTGATGTAATAATCAGGATAAAATAGAGCTAGTGGAAACAGTAAAACAATATTCAAACTGGAAACAGGAAGATCACAAATGAAACCAATAATAATAACCCTGAACTGTTTTTCTGTCACCAGTCTTATACAGCATCGTATTATGGTAGACAATGAAATAAAGACACCTTTGCATCGAATCTACAGCCCTTGAGGGCAACAAAGTCTATTTTCCTAATGCTGTAGTAATAAGGTTTAATCATCAAATTTGTCAGCTTGACTATGTGGACAATATTTTTTCAGGTGCAACCTTACATTGGAAACCAGTCGAGCAGAAGTCTGTGATAGAGCACTGCTGTGTGACCATCGACCTCTTCCACTAAGCTACCATACTGAAAGCTGCAGTCCCACCTGCATCAAACAGGAACACAGATAACTTCAGATATAAACACTAAAATAAAACACTTCTGGAAACATACTTTAAAACTTTGGGCAACCGACATTGTTTCTCAGGGAAAGAAACAGAAAGACATAGACCCGACATTAAAATGCATAAACTTCAAGAAAATATATAATTAAAATTTTCCAAATAATAGTGTCTAACTGCATCAAAATGAAGAGAAAGGAACACTGTACAAGCCATCTCCTACAGTCAGGAAATGAGTCAAAAACAAAAGAAGGTAGAGAAGCACCTACTCATAACGAGTGCCATCCATGCTCATCAGAAGCTCGAATATGTCCTCACATGTTGCCTCCACTACACCAACAGCCTTCATTGCCCTGCTACAGCTCCTTGGCTGCACATGTAGCACTTAAATGATGGTTCTTCTTTATATAAAGTTACTATGTAATCAAAGGGAAATCATGCCATAAAAATGATAAGGTATTCGACATTTCCGTACAAGGTAATCAACTTCAAGAAGCTCTTCAAAAATCCGAAGACCTGCCAAATGTGTGTCAAAACAAAAGCTGATTATGGCTAACTTTTAAAAAGCAATAATCAAATAAATATGTCCCTAAATAAAAGATTAAGAGCCTTGAGCCAATGAAAACTTGAAAAATTCACTCAAAAACAATTAAAAAATGAAAGTAAAAACATTTAAGAGTTCCATTTTAGAATTTGGGCCTATCAATTAATCAGGAAGCGATGGCAATGACGAAACCCATAAAGATAGAAGATTGTATTGATTTTTCATTATAAACCATCATCCGGTTCCTAGAGCAGATAGCTAATGAAGGCACTGGAATCCACATGTTCCAATTATAATCTCATAATTGTTGTAGTTTATTGAGGGAAAATAGTATACTAAATTGCATTTCAGAAATAGCAGCATGTTCTAGAAACCCTGTAAAACCACTAACCATTTTGGCACTGAAGGAGACGCCAGTGTTTTCTGGAAAATGCTTGGTTGTTGGAATTCTGGTTCGCCAACTCTGCATCAAATTCTTTGGTCCAGTCAAGCACAGATTCTGGAGGACCTGCAAGTTTTTTTGAGGTTATGATCAGCCAGGATCGCAGTACCAGATAGAACACAAATAAGAGAATTCGAAAATAACCATTTCCAATAGTTGTCCTCCTCATTAAGCTACGTCGAGAGTCCTCTTCATCCTCTGGCGCACTAAATCTGAAGGAAATTGCAAATATTGTTTTGCATAAGTATATCAATATCATTATATCGAAGTCAAAAGATAAACGACATAGTGACAAACATCAAAAAGAATGATATATGATGGGTACTCTCTAAATGCAGCATTTTGTTAGCCTCTTCTGGCCTTTGTAAATTGTGATAGTCTTAGAATGACTGAGGCAGCCGATTCGGGAAAAATCCAAACACGGATCAGGGTTGGTAGTTTACTTCCTATATTTCTTATCTAATAGAATGACATTTTTTCAAGTTTATTTTCTAATCATAAATTGCCGCCACAAACCACTTAATTTGAACAATGTGGATGGTCATCCCATTAAAAGGAGATCAAGTTTATGAACAATGGAAATAGAATATAATTTGTTCTGATTGAGTCAGGAGATCCTATAAGTAAAAAACTTTAGCCATTGAGTTGCTGGGAAACTGATTCAACGTGGAAGAAGTAATAGAGAAATCTTTTAAATAGGCACTTACTGGCTTTCATGGTCTGAAGATGAAGCAGTCCTTCCAGTATCCATTCCAGACTTATATTCAAAGGAAACATACTGCTGACCATTTGGAACTTGGGACTCTTGATGCTGCACCAGTGCAAAACATAGTTAGGTAATCAGATAAACTACTAATCTACAAATGTTTAAACA